AAGAAGTCCCTTTAATACTTTTTAAACAGATTGCTTGGGCTTATGAAATCTTTTAATTTTTTGCTTAGCTGTAAACTTTTGATCTCTCCATCACATGTGAATGAGAGCCTTGCTGGGTAGAGTATTCTTGGTTGTAGTTTTTACTTTTTCATCATTTTAAACTAGGGTTAAATTAAGATTTCTTCATTATGACAAAAAGTATCTACAAAATAATCATATAAATCTATATAGTGGAGAACTGAAATCTTTCTGCTAAAACCAGAAATTAATATTTATTAAGTATTTCTGTTCTTATCACTTCTATTTAATATCTTTATGGAGGTCCTAAGCATTTCTATATGCAGGGAAAAAGGAAATATAACAAGCTCAGATATAATGAGGGAAACTAACTTTACATGAAGATGACAAGGTTGTGCACATGTGTAACTATACATACACATTTGTTAGAAACAATAAGTAAATTAAAGTCATAGTATAGACAGCCAGTATATTAAATTCAAATATATTTCCACATATTACCAGTGATCAGCTGAATTTTTAAAATTCCAAAAACATTATTTAAAAAGCATCAAAATATATATTTATTGATGGATTGATTGATCACAAAGTGAGACTTCTATAGTGAATCTTAAAAATCTTCAATGATAGAAATCAAATAAGCCTAAATAAATATAGATATATTCTTTTTATGTAATTGAATAAATAATGTTAAGTATCTATTTGTCTGTATCTTCAATTCGATCCAAGTCAATATGTCAGAAGACTTGCTGTTAAAATTGACCGTTAGATTCCAAAATATATATGACAAATTAAAAAGTGCCAGTGAACAAAAATAATCTTGAAAAAAAAAGTTGTAGGAATCACACGCCTTATATACAAGCTTATACATCTACATTAATAAAGTCATTGAGATACTGACATAGATAGAAAAATAAGTCAGAAGGGTAGAAAAAGAATGATAAAATAGTTCCATACATTTATGGTTAATTGGTTTTTGACGACTCTAAGAATACTTAATAGAAAAAGGGAAAGTCTTGCAACAAACTATGCTGAAAAAACACAGAACTACCTATATGATAACAAAAACATGATTCATACCTCATGTGATACACAAAAATCAGACTTAATCATAAACACTACAATTATGAAACATCTAGAATTAAACCAAAAAGTGCACAAAAAGTGTGCTTAGGGAACTAACATTTCTTAGACAAAGAAAAAGGTAAAAAACTGAATTTCAATAAAAATAAATCATGTTTCCCTAATCACTTCTGTATATTAATTAGTAGTTTGTAGTAATAGTACAGTTCATAACTTGAGAGGAAATGGACCAAGCGAATGGTGAATTGATTGTTCCACACTTTAATTGTAACTCTAAGGTTACACCTTTACAGGATAAGCAAATCTTGGTGGAGTCTGAGTGCCCAGTACATAACACAGTACATAACCCAGTACGTAAACACACTTACAGAACCGTGGGGCTAACAATAGCTGTCCAATGTGATCCACTTGTCAGTGTCAGATCATTTCACTTACAGTCATTATCGATCCAATATTTTCCTGTTAATAGTGGATGCATTTTCTTCATTGCATCATTTCTTTTTATTGTATGTCATATTTAAATGCCTCGCAGAGGCCAGGAACCTAAAACTTTGTCCATTCCTATCTACAGAACTTAGAGCAATACACAATGAAAAGATTTATTCTTGCTTTTTTTAATCAGTGTTTGGTATCTGCAGAGCCTCTTGAGACTTCCAAGCAGCAACACTATCCTCACCTCAAGAACTTCCACTGGTAATCCAGTCATTTTATGTGCCATACCACTTGGGGTGATGTCAGGAAAGTTCTTTGAGAGCCTCATTTTCCGCCCAACAAGTAGCAATAGAACATGTTTCTGCATGTGTGGGTCACTCCCTGAAATTTCATTCTTAGAATACCCTTACAAATAAACTTCCACACTAAGAGGGAGCATTTCTTAGTGGACCTCATGTATTTGACTGTTTGTCTCTCTAATCATCCAGGGCATGACCGGAATCCATAGATATTTAATGACCTCAGAATACTCTTAATGCTTTTCAATAGTGAGGCTACATTTATCAAGTACCATTGAAAAGATAGCATCTATTTTTCAAATCGTCTAAAAGAATAATCTGCATCAGGTAGTTTTCAAATCCAAAACCCAAGAGAATTTTGCAAAGAAATCCTATTTGATTTCTGCCAAAGGGTTAGCCCACACATATATTACAGAAATGTCTACTATTGATATATGAACAGTCAGATCTTGTAGGCTAATAGAGAAGTCCTGGGGCTGATTCTCAGTAAATTTATTAAGGATTTCTGCTTAGGGTCCTACTAAAATTCCAGTTTCTACCTGGTGACTTTGTGACAAGAGGCAGATTCCTAGGTTTAGGAGCATGCTTTTGGCAAAACCAGAAAAGTCCTATGGTCTCTGTCTTCTTGCTTATTAGCATGATCTGAAAAACATGACAGCATGTTACGTATTTCAAGCAATGTCTCTGGTTGCTCCAACACATAATTCCTAGATTTTCCACAGATGGAACTAGGCCTTGAATATTACTTGAAAACCACTACCCTTTAGTTATCATATGAATATTAGAAGTCTTAATTCTTTTGAGTTTATTCCTCTAAGGAAGCAATTAACATGATAACTACTAATTTGCCCTTAATGATTATTAATTCCAAATCTTGTCTGAGTTAGATTATGGCAATAAGCTAAAAGACTCAAATATCCCTGGGGCAATATAGTGAATGTATACAAACTCCAATCTGTGAAAACTCACATTGTGTCTGTGTGGACTGAGGGACTATTATGAAAGTTGTTACAAAAGTGGATAAGCGTTCACCAGTCCCACTTGGCCTGTTGCTCTTCCTAAATTGTCTTTATAATATTGTTGCCAGCACAGGCCCTTGGATCTTTAATCAACAGAAATACATAAGTGGCCAGAACAGAGTTCCATGCTGCACTTTATTGGGTCTCATTCTGTAGCACAAGGGAGCAAAAGCAAGTAACAGATACCCTTGCCCACTCCTCCAGAGGAACGGCTTGGGTCACTAAAGGAGTAATGAAAAAATATATATATATATTAATGAGGCAGGTCCATGTGTTGGTCAGGAGACAGAGTTGAGATGGTCTCGCCACCCCATGGTGGTGCTGTGTACAGGGATCATGCATAGTACCCTGCTTTTGCTCCAGGTACCTCAGAAGTGGTGTTTGGTTTGTGGTTGCATTATAGTTATTGTTCAGAATTTCCCCAACTACACATGTATCCCTTATAGTTTCTTTGGATCCTATTGACCCAGGAGACATTTGTCCAGGTGCAAGTACTCCAGCAAGAGTCCCAGGTCCCAGCCTATTTCAATGTCAGGTAGCTGAAATAATCAGCAGACTCACCTTGTCTGACATTTAATAATCTCCACTACCTGTTATTATAGGGCTTCCCAGGTGACTCAGATGGTGAAGAATCTGCCTGCAATGCAGGAGACCCAGTTCAATCCCTGAGTTGGGAGGATTCCCTGGAGAAGGAAATGACAACCCACTCTGGTATTCTTGCCTGAAGAATTCCATGGACCAGAGGAGCCCGGTGAGCTACAGTCTATGGATTGCAAAGAGTCGGACACGAGTCAGTGTCTGACACTTTCATTTTCATCTGTTATTAAGTGTAATCAGATAATTATTTTTTAGAAAATTTAGTCAGCATTGAATTTCATCCTCAGTCATTTCCTTAATGAGACCATTAATGTTGTTCTCCTTGAATTTGCATTGCTTAGTTTACTGATGGTGATGGTTCAGGCAGTTGTAAAGGCTTCAATTAACCAAACCTCCCAGAATTGGGCAAATTTTAACCCAGCAAATATCCAAAGGGAGAAAGACAAAGATACCACATCTTGTTCTCATACCACGTCCATCCCAATTATACATTCAGGTATCAAAGTCTTTCAGCCCCAAGCTACCAGGAATATAGCTATAGTTAAATTGGGTTGGGTTTAGTACTCATAGCAGTGAGGAGAACCTAAACCATGGGGAATTACAGACAGGTGCCTTAATCCAAGGATGTAAGAAAGGACTTGTTACAGGATTTGAGTATATGTGAGGTGACTTGGGGGAGGGTTTAAGGAAGCAGGCCTCTGCTCTGATTAGTGACTCTAAGGGAGGACAAATAATGCTATTACTGAGTGTCTTAACAAACCTTATAGAGAGGAGAAGAGACTAGAGTGGGGCTAAAGTTGTAATGTGTAATGAACTCATTACCTGGGAGAGGGTGATATTTACTGATAGTATTTTATGGTTTGTACACTGATCTTGTTTTTGTTTGTACTGAAACAAAATTATGAGTTGGTCAAAATTATGGAAGTCACTGTGTGCCTTTCTCTGATGTTGGTGTTTTGTGATAATGTTTGTGTGCAATAAGAAAGCACCATTTCTAAGCTCTGAGATCAGGTCAGACCCTAACAATTCCAAAGCGCAAGTGTGTCAGGCTAGTTCCCAGACCTTAGGAGTGCTTCCCTCTTTCTCACCTGCTAAGCCACTGAGGATATGAGAATAATTAGGGGTCAGTTAATAGAGTTTGAAGGAATCAGAGTGAACATTTGTACCCAGGAAATGTTGATTAGTGTACTCACATACAGAAAACTCTAGTCTTTAATGATATACCAAAGGATCGTGTCCTGTTTTTTAAAAATTGGATGAACATGTAGAAAGTCTATTTATTAACATTAATCCAAGAAAGTACTAGGTAGGATTCAAACTCTGTCACTTGGATAGACTAAACTTTTGGACAATCACCACACCAGCACCTACAGAAAATCCTTTTTTTCATGTTGCTCATTATTTCTTTATTTTAAAGAAGATACACTGATTAGAGATAGGATAGATAGAGTAGGGATGGAATCGTTGCATTAAAAGAAATCAAGGGATATATTGGCCCAGCCCAGCAGGATCAAATGCAGAAGGCCGAGGCTAATTCCATCTCACTGATAACTCAGCAAAATTTGTTAATCCGTGGAAATAAACCTGAAACAGAAAAAAGATAAGAGGTTTTCAAAAAAGGTTGAAAATGTGGCTTTATACCTTGGAATCTGCAAGAAGACTAACAAATGTCAAATGGTACTGAAGTCATGGTCAAAAACAGATTTACATTCCTGGAAGATAAACACCTAATGCCTGTCCAGAGGCAATTGGACGTGGAGCCTGGGATGGAAGCCTAGATCAGTGGGAAGTTTAGAAAAAAACAGAGAGATGACCAGGATGAATTAGTTTTCCATGTGCTACAGCACACAGCAGTCCAGGCTTCTCTTGTTAAAAGACAAATATTCATTTTCTCACCCATTGACTACCCAGTACAGAACTTTGAGCCAGGAGCCATGCACTGAAAGAGTATATATATTTCTAAGAGTCCTCAGGACGTTCATTGTTTATGTACCAATCCATCTCATCTCTTACTGCACAATATTCAGGGGGAAGTTTCTGTTGCAAATTTTTATTTCTTCATCTTTAAAATATTTATTTCATAGAGTTACTATGAGATTTAAACTATTTGGTTGACCATATCTTATGGAAAAACCTGAACGAACTTTTAGGCCAACCCTATGTAATATATGTGAATTTGATACCACGTTGCCTGTCATATATTCAGAATCAATCATAGTAGTCACTGATTTTACCAGACTGTTAAGATCAGGGAGAAATGAACCAGGAGCAGGAGGACTGTACCATGAACCACAGTGGAATTCCAAATTCCCCAAAATACCCAGAATAACACTTAAAACATTCTGCCTCAAGGAAGCATCTTTGTAAAGATATTTTCTATTTTTAGAAAGATCTTTAAAGGAAATAAGAATTTTCTAGCGAAACAAAACAGACTTAGCCAGGTACTTGGCCACATGGAGGGACATACTTTGGTCTCTCCATTGTCAATTTTACTAATGATGAATTTTACCTATTAAATTCCAGAATTTCAAGAGCCATGCAGATATAATTGGTAAATGAGAGACTCAAAATTTTTGATTTCTCTGATGTTGTCTCTTGGCTTGATTTGTAAAACCACAAGGATTTAGAAAATATGGAAAAGAGAACAGGACTTTTCTCATGACTTTTTCTGCCCCCCAGATATAGTCTATGCTGAGAATAGTGGACACAGGGAATCCAGGAGATCCATGAAGAAAGTATTTATGGGGTGACCTTACACAATCGATTGGTGGTGTGTCTAGTCCTGGCTGTGGCGGTGGCCTTTGTGGTAGATGAAGCACCAGTTGAGCTGGCAGCAGTGGAAGTGGGATCAGCAGAGGTTGTGGTGGGGGCATCTGTACTTTCGCTGGGAGCATCTGTGCTTTCGCTGGGGGCATCTGTGCTTTCGCTGGGGGCATCTGTGCTTTCGCTGGGAGCATCTGTGCTTTCGCTGGGGGCATCTGTGCTTTCGCTGGGGGCATCTGTGCTTTCGCTGGGGGCATCTGTGCTTTCGCTGGGAGCATCTGTGCTTTCGCTGGGAGCATCTGTGCTTTCGCTGGGAGCATCTGTGCTTTCGCTGGGGTCAGAGTTCGTGGCTGTAGCTTCAGAAGCTGAAATTAAGAGGAAACATTCAAATCAAGACATGTGACTCTTCAGGCAACATGCTTGAATGTGCATTTCTCATTCTGAATTTATCTCAGCAAATGTCATCAATTCTGTCATACCTTTACCCTAGCTACCAACTCTCCTCTTACTCATTCTTCCTAGCTAGAGAAAGAATTTAGCATTTCCTTGCTAGGGCAGTGAGGCTGAGGGAAGACACAGGCAAATACTTTCTGCTCGCGTGAACACGAAAGACCAAATCCACATATGTCCTTATTCACAGGAACCACTGCTGAGAGACAGAAAGGAACTTCCTGTGGACTGACATTCTGGGGACTTCCCACAGAATGACTTGGAACTGAGTAGGTCCTAAGTATGAGGAGCATTGCAGTATGAGGAGAACAGAAGAATCAGTTGACGTAGCTCAGATTAGGGGGAGTGTCTCCTTTCTTTTAATGCAGCAAAATCTCTTTTTGCAGGTTCTGGCCTAAGGAGAGAGATATTTGTCATGCCTTTTGTGGGAACTTGTACTACAGCAATAATTATGAGAGCCCCTTCTACATAATGGGAAATATTGGTACTATTCTGGAAATAATAAGAATAAGCAAATGCTTTTTCACCCACCCCATGTTCAAAAGAACCTTGCCAAGATTTATGAGATTTATCTCTCCCGACAGAGCTAACAAATAGCAAGAGTCAGACCCCCAAACTGTGAGCGAAAACCATCTCATCACCATCTCCATACCTGTACTCTAGCTGTGCTGACTCAGGCCTCATGCTGGAAAGAGAATATTTTTTAACTGGACTCCACATGGCACATGTGGCACGGTATGCGAGGTCAGACTAGAGTCAGTGCCCTATGATCAGAGAACCCAAGTCCGCAAGTTGTTGAGGCTGAAAAGAGGAATCTTCAGAATGCCTGTATGAGCACGACACACACAGCATAGAATGGGCAGGGTGCTATGGGGACAGTCCAAGAATGACCAGGAGCTTTGGTCCACAACCTTGGGATTTAGGTTAAAGAATGAAAACAAACCTCAGCCTGGGAATCAGGCATTGATGCCATTACAAAGAGCAGAGCTTAGAGCCCTACTTGCATTTGACCCCTACATTCCACATCCTGTTATCCCACTCTCCCATGTGGTCCTTATGCCCTCATTTCTGCATTAGTCTCAGGAGCTACATTCTCCTTATTATGGTGAAACCACACTCCTCAATGGGACTTGAATCCAGCTGCACTTCAGACTGGGACTGGAAGCCACCAGTCCTGATTTAAGAGGTGACATTAACTCACAATCTTTTAATTCAAATTGCACACCTGGTGCCTGGTGTGTAGGTTCTTTTGTCTTGGTGCAAAACAATTCAGGCACAGAAAGAATTCAACCAGAGGCAAGGCAACAGGCAAAGAGAGAATTAATTAGAGTAGGATACTTGTGAGAGATACAGGCAGGCAAGGGACTGCAGCCCTGAGAACAAAGAGAGCTGCCTACTTTTTTTTCCTGGCCGTATCCCGAAGCTTGTAGGAGTTCAGTTCCTGGACCAGGGCTCGAAAATGGGCCCAAACAGTGAATGCGTCACATCCTAACCCATGGACCACCAGGGAATTCCTAAAGGCTGCATTTTTATAATATAAGAAAAAATGGGAAAGGTAGAAGATCACAGGTTTTCTCTTTTGGGGTCAGACATCAAGGCTTACATCATTAGTTCCTCCTTAACATTGTATGGTCTAACCAGAACTATCATGGTGCGATAATCATATGTATATTAACAAAGAAGTGGTGACATATCCTAAAATACTGTAATTCATCTCAGGTTGTGGTATAATGTCCTTTTTCACCTAGGTTCTTTTCTCTTTCACCTATACTCCTACCTTGGCTATGTGTAGGAATGCAGTTTTTCAGAATCTGTTATTATAAGCCTCCCAAGGCCAAATTCAGGCCTCATCCCATTTTTCGGTGGCAGTGGCCACTGAGTAAACAGTAAGTCTGTTTACTTTCAAAATGTTCTGATTGTTGCTTAGTTGCCATATGTTCTGATCATCTTCTGGTTGGTGTCTAGCTCATGGTGATCTTCTGAAGTCCCTCTCTGTCTTCCCCAAGTGAGATTTCCAGGTGTAGAACTATCTTATTCTATCCCTATCACTGGGACTAAATGGCCTCTCACTTACACACTGGCCATATATTCAGCCCTTTGGTTTAGGGTAATCAGAAAGACTTTACATGCACCTCCCCCAAATTCTCAGGTCACAACATCAGACCACGGCCTCCTCTCTGCTGAAGAAAATTCAATGATTGACCAACAATTTATATAAATCCATGCCAGAGTGTTCATGTTCTCTAATAATGTGTAAGAAATAAGCAGACTTTCTATGTTCACCATAAACATTTGAATCAAACAGAAGGCTTTGCCAGGCTTGGACTTGAAAGAAAGGTGAAAGTGAAGTCGCTCAGTAGTATCCGACTCTTTGCGGCCCCATGGACTGTAGCCTACCAGGCTCCTCAGTCCATGGAATTTTCCAGACGAGTACTGGAGTGGGTTGCCATTTCCTCTCCAGGGGATCTTCCCAACCTGGGGATTGAACCTGGGTCTCCCACACTACAAGCAGACACTTTACCATCTGAGCCACCAGGGAAGCCCAAGGCTTGGGCTTGAAGTGAAGTGAAGTCGCTCAGTCGTGTCTGACTCTTTGCGACCCCGTGGATTGTAGCCTACCAGGCTCCTCCATCCATGGGATTCTCCAGGCAAGAATACTTAGGAATCCTTATATCCTATCTCCTGTGGAAACTTTGACATGAGGCTGGGATGGAAAATGGTCATTGCTGGAAGGAGATGAGATGCAAGGGCAAACTCACCTGGTGTGTCCTGTGAAGCAGTTGCTTCATCCTCTGAAACAGAAAAATAAAAACAGGACATGAGTTGAACACCAGATTTGGGTGTGGAGAGAAGAATATGGACAATGTGCAGGCTTTCAGAGTCAAATAACTTTAGTCTTTGGTGCACACGTTGAGGGGTAAGAGATACACAGATAATATAAAATGCGACAATATGTGGTCACTTTTGATTTCCTGAAATTAACCTCTGATTTGTATTCTTAAACAGATTTTACTGACTCTGACCATGAAACTGGGTTCCAGGGTCAGAAATGAGCTATGATCTGATTGATTTAGGAAGAGCCTAAGGGTAGAGTCACATCTATCGTGAATGGTCAGTGAAAATGGTGATGAAACAGGGGACTGGAGTAGAGGACAGGAGAGGCCAGCATTCTAGGCTCCCCCAAACCCACATCCACACAGAGTTCTTATCCTCCAAACTATTCCTCCAAACCTTATTTTCAGGTAAGAATCTTTACTTACGGCTAGAAACCAGGATGGTGGAAACTGCCACCAGTGTCAGGAAGGCCAAGAGCTTCATGATGGTCAGTTGCAAAGCAGGGATCACAGGAAATTTTCGGAGCCTGGAGGAATCTTGACTCCAGGATTCCACATCAACATTATATAGGAAGAAAGAGAACACCAATCAGAAGATGCCAGACCAGAATCCGGGTTAGTTAATGCCAGGAGTGTTCGTTCTCAGAGAAACCGCCAAAGAAAAAACAGCACAGCCTGAGGCGCTTGGAAAGATCATAATATCAATCATTTCATTCTGACACATTCATACCTTGTAGATAGAGTGGTATCATGATTATAGTCTTTTCTGACAAGGTGAAAAAACCCCGCATCCAGTCCTCCTGATTTAGTCATATCTGCAGTGCTCCCTTCAGAGACGGGAAACTTACTCAGCCTTGTCTCTCATCAAAGGAGATTAATTAGGGTAGAGCAGCCTGATGGAAGATCCACCCTCTGAGAGTCAGGCTGTACATTCTTCCAGCTATGGCCTCTCTCCTGCACATGTGAATAAAAAGAAAAACAATAGAAAATGAAACTGATGTCTGTTAATTAATGCATGCCTTGACTCCACACATTTCATTCAATAGTCATTGAGCGCTAGACATTAAGGACGCAGTAGTGAACAAAGCACACAAAAATTATACACCATCCACCCTGTTGTTGAAACCCATATGTTAATAAGTGAATAGGAAGGAAGGGAGGGAGGGAGGGAGGCAGGGAGGAAGGAGAGAAAAATGGAAAATAATATTTTGTATATATAAGGTGATAAAGCCTAATAAATAATAACACAGGTAAGAAGGAAGGAAAGAATTATAGGAGATGGAAAGTGAGGTTATGTTTACAATGTGTAGCACAAAAATGGGCTTCCCCGTGGCTCAGATGGTAAAGAATCTGCCTGAAATACAGGAGACCCAGGTTCAATCCCTGAGTCAGGAAGATCTGGAGAAGGAAATGGCAACTCCAGTATTTTGACCTGGAGAATCCCATGGACAGAGGAGCCTGGCAGCGGGCTACAATCCGTAGGGTCACAAAGAGTCACATACAACTTAGAGACTAAGCAACAACAAAAGCCCCCAAATGCTAAATTCATATTCTCAGATTAAAATTAAATCCAATTAACAACTGAAATTAAATCCAGAATGTTCTCTAAAATGTTTTACTACTATGCTTTCCTATCACTTAGTTTTTTTATAATTATCATTATGAAAGTTAAAATAGAAGTATATATAAGAAAGTAAAATTTACCAGACCATCTAACACAATGAGAAACTGTAATTATTACTTTGTTAATATACATTTCCTAAACACTTTTATGCACATACGGATACATGCTCCTCCATGCTTAGCATTCCAAACTATTGTTTACCACTACCAAAAACCTGGAGAAGGAAATGGCAACCCACTCCAGTATTCTTGCCTGGAGAATCCCATGGACAGAGGAGTCTAGCAGACTACAGTCCATGGGATCACGAGAGTCGGATACAACTTAACAACTAAACCAAACCACCACCAAAAACAAATTTAAATGAATTTTAAATGAAATTTAAATTAAATGAAATGAAATTTAAATTAATTCCTGGTTAATATATATATTAATTATATAATTAATATATATTAATTTTATATTTAATATCATAATTTTGTATATAATGTAATCAATATATTTTATATATTTATATAAATAATTGATATATTTATATATAAATATATAATTCATTTAAATTAATTAAATGAAAATTTAGTTTAAAACAAATTTAAATGAAGTTTAAGTGAATTTCTCCATGTTCCTCTTATCATATATAAATCTGTACATATACAAATCTATATATATGTTGATATATTTCTTACAATATGGTATACAAAACAGCATTATATTCTGGATCATTCTTTCTTCTATGTGCACTCAACATGATGTCTAACAAATGTAGGTCAGCCATTATAGATCTATATCATTCCTTTAAATGGTTTTGTTATATCATAATTGACTCTAACCTTCCATGTTGATAGAAATTGAGGTCACTGCTAGTTTTTTGCTGCTACCAATCATAAAGCCATTGATATGCCTTTTTAATGTACTCTTACCAAATATTTCATATCAATGCTCTAGATTGCCAGACTTATTAATAAACTCATTAATATTTTTAATAGATAGTATCAAATTACTTTCCCCAAGAACTCAAAAAATTATTATTAAAAGAAAGAAAATATGAGAGTGCTTCTTTCCAACCATCTTGCCAGAACTAAATGTATCTCAATATTATTTTGCTAACCTGATCGGTCAAAGCAGTATTTGTTATGCTCATTTGCATTTCCTGGATTATAGTAAATTTGAGCATACTGCATGCATTTATTGATGCATGATGCATGCATTCATGATTTTCTATTCAAATAATTTATTCTGTCTTCTGATCTTATCATTTTAAAGACTTTGCATATAAAAGAGATTTTAATATTTTTAAACTGTTACAAAAATCACAAGGCTTTACAGTCTAACAATTTTAATTTTATTCACAGTACATTTTTAAAGTTTCAAATTAAGTAACCTATCATCTTTATTATGCTTCTTATATTAAACAGTTTGCAAAACACATAACATGACATCTTAAATTTGTGACACTTCAGTATTCCTCCATACAAACTTCACATCTCTTTCTACCCTCTGAACTTACCCAGTGATCACAAACCTGGCCCCACCAGCAGTGCACACTCTCATTTGAATCATTTAGTAAAGGACCTAGGCCCTGAAAGGAAACCAAAAAATAAGCCTCAGCCTGAAGGGAGGTCTTGAGAGGAACATAAAGGACTTGGACCAAAATCAGGCCCCTTGCCCCTTGTCAAATACCTCACAAAATTTGGAAGATTCTGCAGTAGTCCTGGACTGGGATGGGCAAGGATACATGAATGAGTTTCATAAAGATAAGAATTAACTAGACACAGATAAACAAGAGGATATGGTACTAAGTTTATATATAAGAGAGAAAAGATGTAATTAGAAGTCTCAGGGTGATATGAGGCCCAGGAAGATTCGGTGTTGGGATCAAAGATCAGCTCTCATCCTGTTCTTCCATCAGAGGAGCTGAGAAACAAACAGGGCTACACAATGACTGTTCAGCAATATAAATCTGACTGTGTGCACAAACACAGTGTGCAGACCTAGCATGTTTCTTCTAGTTATCAATAGCGTCCATTATCGCTGTTCAGTCTCAAATAGCACGTCTTCATGGAAATCAAGTTAGATTCTATTTTCATATAAGGCTTATCACTCCCTGATATTTTCTTGTCTCACTGTTTCTTTGTCCTTGGCTTCTCTAGTGTTGTCTTCCTTCAAATAAATGAGCTCTAAGAAAACAAACTTAAGTTGTTCATCTCTGTTTCACAAGACCTAGAAGAATACCAAGCACTGAGTAGGCTCTTGAGAAATGAGCCTAACTAAATGAATGAATGAAGGAATATAATACAAATTCAAATAGTAAGCGAAAGACAAAGGAGAAGGACTTGGAGGATCAGGGAGGGAGTGTACTGTGAAAGGTCAGGATTAACCAGGACATGGATGGGGTCTTGTAAGGTTGAACCTCAGCCTATGACTATGAGTTATGATATAAAATAGGTACAGAAGGGCTAGGAAGGCAGGAATGTCATGAACAGAATTAACTATGGAAGAATGCCAGTGGTGTTTAGAGACAAAGATTCTTTATTCTCTCAAATCTCCTAGTCACAGAAATCTGGATCTAAAGGGTCACACACACACACACACAAAAAGAAAAACAGCATACACTTACACATGAAGATAGGAACTCCCTGCACCAGTGAACCAGGGCTTCCCAGGTGGCCCAGTCGTAAAGTATCTGCCTGCCAATGCAGGAGACACAAGTGATGTGGGTTTGATCCCTGGGTGAGGGAAGATCCCTTGGAGTAGGAAATGGCAACCCACCCCAATATTCTTTCCTGGAGAATCCCATGGACAGATGAGCCTGGTGGGCTACAGTCCATGGAGTCACAAAGACTTGGACAGGACACAGTGACTGAGCATGGGCACACACCAGTGAACTACAGTAAAGATTCAACTATACCTGATAAGCCTCACAATACTTCCTTTTTAAAAAAATATAAATTTATTTATTTTAATTGGAGGCTAATTACTTTACACTATTGTATTGGTTTTGCCATACATTGACATGAATCTGCCACGGGTGTACATGTGTTCCCCATCCAATTTAGGGAAGTTTTCCTAAAACTTGCCTGTGTCCTGGTTCATTATTTTACTATCAGAAAATAACTCTCCTAAGTACAAATTTCTTCCACCATTGGCTTTTCCTAGTTAAGGAAAATAACATCTAATCCTTACCCTAATTCTCATTCTTCTTCCTATCGAGGCTCATCCTACTCAATGTGTGTGTTCAGTTGCTAAGTCATGTCTGACCCTTTGCAGCCCCATGGACTGCAGCCCACCAGGCTTCTCTGTCCATGGGATTCTGCAAGCAAGAATACTAGAGTGGGTTGCCATTTCCTACTCCAAGGGGATCTTACTGACCCAGGGATTCAACCTGCATCTCCTGTGTCTCCTGCATTGGCAGGCAGATGCTTTACCACTGAATCGTCTGGGAAGCCTCTATCCCACTCATTGCTTTATATCAATTCTCTATAAATGCAACTCTTTTTTAAAAATTTATTTATTTTCATTGAAGGATAATGGCTTTACAGAATTTTTCTGTTTTCTGTCAAACCTCAACATGAATCAGCCATAGGTATACATATATCCCCTCCCTTTTGAACCTCCCTCCCATCTCCCTCCCCACCCCACCCCTCTAGGTTTACACAGAGCCTCTATTTGAGTTTCCTGAGCCATACAGCAAATTCCCATTGGCTATCTATTTTACATATGGTAATGTAAGTTTCCATGTTACTCTTTCCATACATCTCACCCTCTCCTCCCCTTTCCCCATTTCCGTATGTCTGTTTCTTCATTGTTGCCCTGTAAATAAATTCTTCAGTACCATTTTTCTAGATTCCATATATATGCATTAG